TTTTTGTAAAAATTCCTTATTCATCGAAAACAGTATTTTCGTAAGACAATAGTGTCCTTAATAAATCTTTATAAAATCAATTAAAAGCTTCTCTAATTAAATTATGTCATAGATTTATTGCACTTTTTATTTTACCATTTTGTGCATTCTGGGAAAATGATTAGTAATCTTTAAAAATGATTTACATTCTCCAAGGACTAATGCTTTTGACTAATAAAACAAATTTTCTGATTGAAATTTAATTGCCCGAAATTTCATGAAATTAAATAAGTGGTGCCGGTGATATATGTGAAATAGTTTTTTACCAAGATTTTCTAAAAAGAAAATTAAAAAAATAATTTCTGAATAAGTCTCAGCAATTACCTGACTTTTGCAAGAATTTCCAAAACAATTTTTTTCACGGGGCAAAAAGGGAAAAAATACTAATCGATATTTTTCTTTTCTTTTCTTTTTTTAAGGCAATTCACCCCAAGCAAGTCGGGTGTTCCACTAGCACCGAATGGGGTTACGAAGGACTGAGAAGAAGAGTAAAGAGGCGTGTTTGAGGAAAAGATACAGAGAAGGACGGGGGAAAAGCTCAAAGTGTCAGATGTCGATTGACATTATACTTGAATATTTGAAGATTATAGTCATCGGGGAAGCAAGTAAGAGGAAGGGAGTCCCACAGACGAGCAGTTCGGGAGAAGGAGCTGTTTGAGAAGAAGAGACAGTTACGTTTAACCGTTTTCACAATGAAAGGGTGGGATCATGATGCCAGTCTGGTAGCTCGTTTAAATTCATGTAGTCCGAGAAACAAGGAAAGTAGCTCGTCGGAATAGTTGCCATGAAAATATTTGTAGAAGAGACAGAGGAGGCAATGGCACATCAGTGGGATGGCGATTGAAGATTATATATGCCAGATCAGGACCTATCGTCTTGCATATTCGTTTCTGCATTTTGTCAAGGACCTCGAAACGTAGACCGGGCGCACTAGACTATATATGAGTAATATTCCATGCAAGAATGATTGATGGTTGATTTATATATCTGAAGGATGGACTCAGACGAGAAAAAATTTTCAGGCACGACACAGAGAGCCAACTATCCTTGCGGTAGATGAAGCTATTGATTCAATGTAATTGTTCCACCTCATTTCAGTGGACAGCTTGAGAGCAAGCAGGCGTAACGAGGTGCTCTCAAAGAGTTGGGAACCAGCCATTCTGATGGGAGACAGGAAGGTTTCTTTGTTGAGGGTAAAGGAGAGTAGTTTAGTTTTGGAAGCATTAAAAGCCATTTCCTGACCCATTTAACCACAGATTGGAGGTCCTTTTCGATATCCGCAGCCAGATTAGTTTTGTCAGCGATACCATATTTACTATTGAGGTAGAAGTAAATAGTGATGTCGTCCGTGTAATGCCAAATTAAGAATTTCTACCATAAGGAATGTCATTGATAAATAGACAGAATGGAATAGCTGAATAGAAAAACAATAACATACATGCTTAGTTCACAGAGAGATGAACATAGTACACAAAATCAAATATATACATATATACAAGTGTCCCACGCAAATAAATTATAACATTCGCCTCAACAGTGTGTAAGAAAGATGAGCCTTACTTTTTATATTTCCTGAACAGAAAACAGGGATTACGGCAATTTCTCTACAAACTGAACTAGACCATGTGCTTTTACCTATAAGACCTACCGCTGTGGCCTAAGGACGTCCTTCGTCTCTGGGCTCTACATGACAATTTCTCTCGTCAATCTCTCTCCTGGCGTCATTCACCGGCCGTCATTTGATCGTCGTGACTATATCAATGAATGGGAGAGAATCGGCATTTGTAACCCAATAAAAAACGACAATGCATCTATTAACAAAAGAATTACAAGGACAATGAAAGAAGGAAACACTTAAAGACTAATTTCATAGAGCGTTTACAGAATATACACACGCATCTGGCGACTTTTAAAGACGTAATTTTGAAGCTAATATAATGGAGTTGTATCATGCACGAGATATAAAATTGGTGTATTCACTGCGGTCCCTGGTACGCCGTTGACCAAACTGTATATCCGTTTACTGTAGTCAAAATATACAGCTGTATTTAAAAGAAACATCGCACGTTACACCAGCATATAGGGTAAATTAGATAATGCTTGTGTAGGCCTGCGTGATAGATACGTGTGTAAAATAGTATATAAAGCCATGAGAGAAAAATAAAACACTGAAAATAATCGTGCCCTAGTGGGGGATATTTTTTCCCACGTGCAAATACATCTTTAGCCAGAGTTGTAAAAGAGGATAAGAGAATGTGTGAGAATATCACTCCCTATTTATATGCTTAAAGGAGAGCTCCTTAGTGGCGTTTTTTTTGTTTTTGTTTTTGTTTTGAGGGAGTCAGGTGGGATAACCCACAAGTTCAGTTAACTCAGACAAACTCATACATGTTAATACCCATTATAACTGTGTTATTATTAGTAGCATTAGTAGTATTGTTTATTAGGGATCACAACCAACTTGACTAAAACCATGCAAATGATAAACAAATATGTTGTACCGATCGGGGTATTTATTGTATCCCATCCGAATTCACTAAGTGGGATCATATATATGTAAAGACCACCGCCAATTAATTAAGATAAGAAAGCATCAGAAACATCCCTGGCGTAGCCCCATCATTATTATTATTATTATTATTATTATTATTATTATTATTTCGATTTCTACAATGGTCACCCTACCTACCAAATCTGAGCGAAGATCTAACGGCGATAGTGCGGTGTTGTTAAGGTTAATTAACTCTCATAACATTACTAGTTTTACATGGCCAAAGTTCTTCTTAGTGTGTGGGCTGCAATTATCAAGACATTTTTTTTTTGTATTAAGCTGGGATTTCCAGGGATTTTTCTTGTTGTGTTGTTATGTTCTTTTTTTTATTATTATTATTATTTCAAGCCCACCTACTATGACTGGTACTACCTTTTTTTTTTCAATTTCCACATTCTTTTATACTTCCAGGTTTATATACTTCCATAGTTCCTTGGTTGCTATATTACAATTTGCTGGGCATGTTATATCAATTAGTAGGCAAGTTTTTTTTTTTCTTTTCGGTATTTTGACAATTATATCCTGCCTATTTGATTCAATCTTCCCATAGAATTACGATGTCTTCTATTTCTGTAACCGGTACTGGGAGATGTTCTTACCGCCGTTTATCAACATCAATTTCAATGTGTTCGCATATTGTCCAGTTTAAGCATTGTCTTACTCTATTGTGATGATTTTTATATTCATTTGGCTCAAGTACAGAACATATTATTATTATTATTATTACTATTATTTCCTTTGATTTCTGATGTATACATATTCCTTTCCGGGACCTGCTCGGAAACCTCAGTTTAGAAATAGCATCATGACATTTTCCACTGACCAATTAAAAAACACACACACATATTTGACATAGATAAAGCCCTTCGTAAGGTGTGGGCTGTACTCGTGAGAACCATTTTTTGTATTTCTTTAAGGCATGGGCTTCCAGAAATCCGTTCAATGAGTTTACTGGAATCTTTTCCAAGAAAACCTAGAGCCCCTACTATAACAGGGATTGTTGATGTTCCCATGTTCCATATTTTTGAGATTTCGATTTAAAGGTCCTTGTATTTTGATTGCTTTTTGAAGATCTTCAAAGATATATTGCAGTCTGCAGTGACTGCCATATTAATAAGGAGGCACCATTTTTTTTTTTTTTGTTTGCGGTGTCTAGTAACAATATCTGGGTGGTTAGCTTTGGCTGTTCTGTGTGCGTGTATTGTGGTATTATTATTATTATTATCATCATCATCATCATCATCATCATCATTCGATTTCTGCTATGGACACACTACCTACCAAGTCTGCGGAAAGACCTAAGGCAGGTCGTGGTGTGTTGTTATGGCCACATTTCATGTTAAATTTTTTTTTTTTTTTTTTTTATCTCCGATGAAGTTGCTAGCGTTACATAGACAAAGTTCTCCTTAGTGTGTGTGCTGTACTTAATAAGACAATTTTCTGTATGTCTCTTAAGCTGGGGTTTCCAGGGATTCTTTCAATGTGTTGTTTTGTTCCATTTTTTATAATTCCAAGTGCACCTATTACCACTGGTATTATTCTTGTTTTCAATTTCCACATTTTTTCTATTTCAATTTCCAGGTCTTTGTATTTTGATAGTTTTTCAAATTCCTTGGTTGCTATGTTACAATCCGCTGGACAAGCCATATCAATTAGTAGGCAAGTTTTTTCTTTCTGGTTTTTGACAATAATGTCCGGCCTATTTGCTTCAATTTTTCTGTCTGTGTGGATGGTATAATCCCATAGAATTATTATTATTATTATTATTATTATTATTATTATTATTGTGTGCAGTATCATCTTGCCAGAGAATAATTTTAATTGCCTAATTACCAACTCCCCTCCGGAGCCTAAGACTAGAATGTGCACTGTATGGAAGTCATTTGTTCACATCTGGGTCTTTTCGTTTGAATGGAGAGGATTTTGCAGAGGCTGCGTGCTGTTTCGCACAAAGTAATCTTTTGTAGTTCTGAGATGCTAATGTGTCTAGGAATTTTACTGATATGATTCTTTATCCTTCCCAATGCTTATATCACAACAGGAACAAATGTAGTTTCAAGTTTCCACATTTTTTGTTACTTCGCTTTGCTGGTCCATATCATTTGACAAGTTTTTGAAATTCTTTTTTTTACAAAATATTATAATTCTATGATAAAATCATATCAATCAGTTGGCAGGTTCCTTTTTGGAAATCTTTTATGAATGTCTCTCCATTTGCATCCATTTTTCGGTATGTAAGGTTTGGGGAATTGCATGCTATAGTCACACCATTAACATTTATGATATCATTCTGGTAGTGTTCATTAGAATCGTCCGCACAGACATGCCGATGATATGATGATATATTTTTCTCGCCTGTCAATTCTAATAATGTCTTCTTTCTTAGCAATTAACTGGCCACCCAGATACTATGAGGTAACCAATTCTTGAGTCATCTTCGTAGGCATTAGTTGGAAGACAGTGTGCTACCATTATTATTATTATTATTATTATTATTATTATTTCCTTGGATTTCTATTGTATACACATTTCGTTCGGGGTCTCAACCAGAGACCTAAAATCAGAAATGACTTCATGATATTTTCCACTAAGCATTTTCTTAAAAAAAAAAAAAAAAAAGAAAAAATATAACACACATTTTACATCAGTCAGTTAGTTATGGTGCCATGCGTGTAACAAGCTTCGGCGATCATGTATCTTTCGATACATGACTGACGAGACAGATTTTCTCCCGCAGTATTTGCCTTTTCTTTCTTTCTGCGGTAGACCAGTTGACATCAAAGGCTATAGAACCCCACATTTTACATGGCTCTTCTAAATATATCAGCTGTACTCGTGAGTGCAATTTTGTTTTATTTTTTTATTTATGTACTCATGTGCCACATTTTTTACATTTCCACTTCAAGATCCTTGTATTTTGATAAGATCTTCAAAATGCATTACAGTCTGCAGGGACTGCCAATGTCAATAAGAAAGTGCATTCTGTTTTTATGGTCCTTCATCAGGGTGTCTGGATGATGAGCTTTGATTGTTCTGTAAATGTGTAATTTCTGGCGTTTACACATTTCTTTCCGGGTCCCGCCCAGGGACCTAAGCTTAGTAATGGCATCATAACACTTTCCACTGACAAAAAAAATAAAAAATACATAGATAAAGCCCTTCGTAAAGTGTGGACTGTACTTGTCAGAACAATCTTTTGTATCTCTTTGAGGCATGGAATTCCAGGAATCCCTTCAATTAGTCTACTGCAATCTTATCCAACCAGTCCTAGGGATCCAGCTACAACAGAGATTATTGATGTTCCCATATGCCACATTTTTGAGATTTCTATTTCAAGGTCCTTCAGCTTTTTGAATATCTTCAAAGATACATTGCAGTCAGCAGGGACTGCCATATCAATAAGGAGGTACATTTTTTGTTTGTGGTCTTTAATGACAATGTCTGGGCGGTTGGTTTGATTGTTCTGTCAGTGTGTATTGTGTAGTACCATAGAATTGTAACAGGTCCTATCTCCGTAACCGGGTCTGGGATGGTGTTCATACCATTTTCTTTCGGTTTCCTTCCCGTAGAAGTTGCAGATTTTCCAGTGCAGATATTGGCCCACTCTGTCATGCCGGGGTTTATATTCAGTGGGTGCCAATATCGTGCAACCTGATACAAGATGATCAATCATTTCTGGATATTTATCACAGAATCTGCATTTTGGGCTAACACAATATCTTAGTATATGTGCTTGATAATTCCTAGTTAGCAAGAATTGCTCCTGTGCAGCAAGGACCTTTAGTTTCAGCTTTCAACCCTGCACTACGTAGCCACTGAAGGGTACGGTTTTTTTTCTACGCCAGCTTGTTTGGTACGGGCAGAGTATTGGCCATGAAGCGGTTTATCTTGCTATCGCTTCTGTATCTGGTCGGTTGCATTCGTCTTTGCTATCTTTTTTAAGTATTATTTATTATTATTATTATTATTATTATTATTATTATTACTATTATTATTATTATTATTCCGTTGTTAATTATTTTAGATCTAATTGTTGTATTTTATAATAAAGTTCTGTGTAATAAAACAAAAATAAGAATATGACACTTAAGTTTTAACTCTCTTTTTATATTTACTATTTTTATATTTTTTCTACTACAGTGACAAGTTTAGAAGGATTTTTTTTTTTTAAATACATCTCTTTGTAGTGGAGAACAAGATGTTGCCGAAAGGAAAATAAAAAGCGTAGAAACTATATAAAGTAAAACATAAGTAAAAGAAAGAATCTTAAAAGAGATATTTAAAAAAAAAATGATCGATTACTTTGGAACAGATTATTGATCTGTGAAAGGAGTCAGACATCAAGAAAATCAAATCCTTAACATTTTTACGAAAGTGTTTCGTACTTGTGTAACAAAGACGCGGAAAAGATATTTTCTCTAGGTGTAGTTATTTGGCTTTTATTTTTTTTACCCTTCTTTTTTTTGTATCCATAAAATTTATACTTCTCTTCCTTCATTTTTTTCTCTTTCCTTTCTTTCGTTCTTCTATCCTTACTTCTTTTACCATTGCTTCCATTATCCTTTTTTTTTTATTTCGATCCCGCTTTCCACAATTGTTTCTACCTTGTTCATACGCTATCCTTCGTGTTTCCTGGTTTACTGGCCTCTCTTTTTTTTCTTTCATCCCGTTCCTTCAGTTCCTTCCGCATCCTTTCCCTGTTTCCTTCCTTCCTTCTTTCCTTTCTTCCTCCCTTCCTTCCTTCATTGATTCATTCTTTCTTTCGTTCCGCATTTCCTCCCATATTATATTATTCCCTTCCTTCTCTCATTTAACTGTGCATTCCTCCATTTTCCCCCTTCCATTAATTTATTACTCCCTTATTCATTTATTACTCGCTTATTTATTTATTACACTCTTATTTATGCATTTATTGCACCTTTATTTATTCATTTAGTACTCCTTTATTTATTCATTTATTACTCCCTTATTTATTTATTTCCGTCTTTTTCCTCTCATATTATATTCTTTCCTTCGTTCTCTTATTTAACTGTCCCTTCCTCCATTCTTCCCCCTTCCATTCATTTATTACTCGCTTATTCATTTATTACTCCTTTATTTATTTATTTCTGTCTTTTTCCAGTTTATTTCTTTATTAACTTTTTCTGTTCCTTCTTTATTCACTCGTTTAAATTTTCTTCCCTTTTTTTCCGTCCGCTATTTCTTCCTCCGTGTCTTCCTCCCCTCTTTTCTTCCCTCTGTCCTCCTTTCATTTGCCGCTTTACTCTTTCCCTCCTCCATTTCTTTCTTCCTTAATTCTTTTATTCAGTTTTTCTTTTCCCGCCTCTTACCTTTCTACCTTATCTCATTTCTTTTTTATTGGTTCCGTTGCTTCTTTTTCTTTCCTTTTGATCTTCACTTCCGGATTGTTTTCTTTAGTTCCTTTCTTTACTCTTTTCTTCTTTCATCTTTTTCCTCTTTCTTGTCGTTCTTTTATTTACCCCGCCTTTCTTTCCTCCCTTACTCCTTTTCTACAATTTGTCTTTCTTTATTTCATCCTCTCACCTTTCTTCACTTCCTTTTACTTCCTTTTTTTCTTTCGTTTCTCTTCCTCTTTACATTCTTCTGGTTTTCTTCTTATGTTTTTTTCCCCCTTCTTTTTCTCTTTTCGCTTTGTTGTTTCTTCCTTTATTTTTGTGCCGTTGTTTTTTTACGACTTTTCACTTATCGGATTAGTGAAACATTTTTTCTTTCGCAGCTAAACAAGATTTCAGCTGATTCCTGTCTAAAATACGCCTGGGTATTTCGGCTTCCATAACTCAATTTAGTTCACTATCAAAGACGACATCAAAAAATAAAACTGCAAAACTACAGAAAACTTCATCCTAAAAACACAACACCTAAAAAGAATTATACATAATTAAACATGCTCCACGGTGTACGAGGAACTCTTCTGCGAAACTGTCGTGTAATTTTTTTTTTTTTTTTTAAATCTAAAATTTTTATTCTCTATTCCGGGTTGCGTAAAACGTCGACACTAGCGGAAATCATTTGCCGGATCTAAGTTTTTCGGTTTTCTGAGCCCAACACTCTGTGGCGGTTTTCATTGTTTTACCGATCGATTTTCTTTCACGGGTCGATTGATTTTATTCGGAAGTGGGGATCACAGTCTGGTTAAAAATTTTGAAGATGTTTGTTTTTCTGTTATGGAGTTGAAAGATTTCTACTATCACAGAGCCTTTTGCGAAGGAATGGTTACCTTCCAACTGATTATTGATATCAACGTTCCATACAAATAAAGCCAGAATTAGTACAGCAAAAGCTTGGATATTTACTTATACATCAATATATTGCCTGTAAAAAGAAAAGGACTCAATATATCTACTTTAACCAGAACACTCTACGCATGAATGAGGTTCCTACATTTAGCGGGAAATACTCAGGCGCTCAACTATCGATTTTTTTTAAGCGTTTGACCCCAAGCAAGGCGGGAAGCCACTAGGACGCAAGGGGTTACAGAAGATTTGGAGCAAGATCAGATAGGAGTGATAGAGGAAAGGATGAGGAGAGGGATAGAGGATAGATCAAGGCAACTGGAGATGTCGATTGACATTACATTTGAATAGTTGGAGATTATAGCTCTCAGGGAAACTGGAATAGGGAATGGAGTTCCACAGGCGAGAGGTTCGAGACATGAAGCTATTGGAGTAGAAGAGACTACATTTAATAGTTTCGACAGTAAAAGGGTGAGAGCGGGATGCCAGCCTCGTAGGGCGCTTGAATTCATGAAGTCTGGGAACCAGCGCAAGCAGCTCATCGGAGCAATTACCATGAAAGTATTTGTAAAAAATATCTACAGCCATACACTGCCAATGACGTGATGATGATAATTATGATTAAATCAGTCAGTTACGCGCCGCACATAATACAAGTTTGGGCGATCATATGTCTTTCGATTCATGACTTACTTGGCAAAAGATATTCCCGCAGTATGCTGCCGTTTTTTTCTTTACAATCGACTGGTTGCCTCCCAAGGCTATAGGACGCAGTCTGTCCTGCTATTCAGCCATAGCTAGGGAGAAGTGTCGGTTATTTGTGCATGTGAATGTAATAAGCCCGACTGAACTGGAACTCGGATATTCGATTTCTCATTCAGAGTCTCCGACTATTCTCCCCAGCCACGACACACATCCTATGGCGATTTTCTAAACTTAGCTTAGATGTAGACAAGGCCGAAAGTATGGGGTAGCCAGTGAGGATCGAACTCATTATTATTCAGTCGTAATTGATTTAGTAAGTCAAGTTTTCTAACCTTTGGACCTCCTCGAGGTGCCCATATAGTGATTTTCTATGCGTAATTTGTGGCACAAGGTGGAATGTATGTGGCACTCAGCGAGGATCGAACTCATTACTCCGTCATAATTGATCTAGCGATACAAGCATTCTAGCCATTACGCTGCTTCAAGGTGCCTCACGACGCACATTGTTATTTAAAGCCAGTAAATATATTTACATTCTAAGAATATTTTAGAGATAATAATGACTTACTGAGATAAGTTCTACTAATTAACCTATAGCTGGAGAGTAGAAGACGTCTCTCAAGCGTATTTGCGCGTATGTGAATATAACGAACCCGACTGCAATGAAAACACGGCTCTCCTTATATCCACAAGCGGTTACCAATCTAGGTACCAACCAGGTACCTAGATTGGTAATCGTTTAATCAGATTGGTAACCGCTTATTCAGAATCGCGACTGATTGAGAAATCAAATAGCCGAGTTCGAGTTCCGTCGGGTTCATTACATTCACATGCGCAGATAACTGACTCTTCTCGCCAGCTATGGGTTGAATAGCAGGATAGACTACGTCCTATAGCCTTGGGAGGCAACCAGTCGACTGTAAAAAAAAAACTGGTTTAACACACAATGTTGGTTTATCGCAACCAAGAAATGCGCATCAACCTGAATGAAGTCATCAAGCTGAACCAATAGTGAAGATGTTCAAATATGTCGCTATCAAATGCCCATTATGGAAAAACAAAGGAATATTTTATACGGCAGTTCCACAGTCGAGCTACTTGTGCCCCGTGTTGTCTTACGTAAAAATCCGAATGGAACGTAGAGTCTCTGGTGACAGATCTCATCACACGCCTATAGGCAAAAGGAGTTGTGTGACTGTCCCAAAATGTGAAAATTTCGCTTGTTTATTTGTAGATAGTTATGTATGATGTTTAGAAAGTTGGTGTGTTATTAAAGTTCCTGGATTGACACGCAATGTAGGTATATGTTAGTAGGATGGGTACCTCGAGGCGGTGTAATGTTTAGCAAGCCTGGCTCGCTAGAACAATTACGAGTGAGTTCTATCCTCACTGGATACCCCCTAATTTCGGCCTTGTGTCACATCTAAGCTACGCTTGGAAAATCGCTATATGTTAGTAGGATATGCAAATGATTTTTTTTTCTTTTATTGACTCATGTTTTCGTTTCATAGTAAAGTTCCGAGTTTTAGACAACGGAGCTGGCACCACTGCAGTAGATTAAAGAAAATAAGAAAGCCAAAGTTAAGCGTTCTTTTTTGAATTTGGTAGCAGTTTGGCTTTGCATTTTAACGTCCGCATTTTCCTTTTCAGAAAGTATTATTCATTTCTCGTTATTCACATTTTATTTCTTTTTACTACTTTCTTCATTGAAAGGACATAAGCTATCAAATACTAACATAATATCCACATTATATGCCTTACTTTAGGAAAATATTCAGTCTGTTGTTAACTGGAGCAAAGGACGGCTAGTTAATTTTAAGAGCTCCAAAACCAAACTACTCTCTATCAATAATCTGAGAGAACTTTCTCTGAATTCTATCTTGCTGTTGCAATGTTGCTCACCTAAGGAGAGTGACGTGTGCAGCTTTTCCAGCTAACTTTCTCGGTTGACATGAAGTAGAAAAACTATATTGAATCCATTGCTAGGTCAGCTGCTGGGAAAGTTGGTTCCCTGTGTCGTTCTAGACAGTTTTTTCTCATCATAATCTATCTTACATATCTATAAGTCTACCATTCATCCATGATTGGAATATTGCTTTTACATATGGTCCGGTACTCCTGATATTTATCTAGATATCCTTGATAAACTCCACGGAACAATCAGCAAGATCTCTGAACCTGATCTGTCGTCTCGGCTTCAGTCAATTACTCCCTTATTTATTTATTACTATAAGGCGGCCTCCCTTTGCCCTTTCTATACATACATTCATGGTCATTTTTCGGATGAGCTCTTCGCAATGGTGCCTACACTTATTTGAATTTAAGCGTCGTATTAGACTGACGACGAGTTCTCACCAATTTGCAGTTGAGTTGGCTAGATTTAACCGTAAATTCTATGCTTCATGCTTTTCCAGCCAACATTAATCTGCCAATATTTAAATACAATGTCAATCGATATCTACTGTCGTCCTGATTACTCTTCTTTTGTTCTCTCCCCTTAGTAATGTTTCTGTTTCTAATTCTTCCACACCTACTAACCCCTTGTGTCTCAGTGGCCCTACTGACATACATAGAGTGACTCGATTAAAAAAGTGACAAAATGAAAAAAAAATTCGTATGACACTTTTCCTTCCTTTTGTATTTTAATGGACTGAATTGATATTTGTATTGATGCCACGACACATGTGCAAAGGAAAAAAGACGCTGAAATTTAAAATTTGAATTTAAATTGAGTTTTGGGTATATAGTCCAGCAATTTCAAATTCTCAGCGTTCCATCTTCTTCTTGAGCAAGTGTAATTGCATCAACGTAAAAAAAAAAATAGTTCAATCCGATGAAATCTTAACAGATGAAACGCGTCACGCAAATATATCTTAAGAATATATCTACGACAAAGAAACAATTTTTAGAATGGTAATCCTGCAGAATACTACACTACACGTGCATATGCGCATGCGCACGAATGAGAGGTGACGCTGAAAATTTTTAAATTTCATTTTTTTTTTGTTTTCAAATATGTGACATCCGTCGGTCTCGAGTGATCATGGATCGGCGCCCAATGTGTTATGCATCAGCTGCTGATGGCGATGCAGCATCTGTCATGGCTGCAAAGGACCACATGAGAGTGACAGCATTGATTACAATGAATGCACATAACGACTCTCTCTCTCTCTCTCTCTCTCTCTCTCTCTCTCTCTCTCTCTCTCTGTTGCTTTCTTTCCTTCGAGCACACTAATCCACGGCGGCAAGCGTCCGTTTCTTCTCTCCTCGGTGTAAACCGCGTGTCCAACGTGAACGATCGATCATTGGCGACGTCCTCCCACCTCTCGATGTCCATGTCAATCCCCCACCCATGTCCCTTTTACAGACGTCCGTGAAGCGAAGATGAAGTCACGCTCGTGCCGTCTCGTCTGTGGTCAGTTCCCCATGGAGAAGGGCATTCGGAATCTTCACATTAATAGATTGTTGCTCCCCTTGGTGAGGCAACACTGGAGGGTCCTTTTTAGGGACCAAACCTGGGCATGTTTCTTCTTTTTTTTTTTAAGTATTTCACACAGTGCTAACACGCACAAACTGTAACATCTGTTATCCTCATCCCTAATGGTAATTTTAATATTTTCCGTTCGCTTACAAGGAAACATTTAGCATTCCTCATCTTTAATGCTCATGTTAATATTAGAAATCTCCTTATAAGGAAACATTTGGCATTCATTGACCGAGTGGCCAGTGCTACTTGAGTTACGCTTTACTTCATTCCCTGGCTATTAAACTGTAACATCTGTTATCCTCATTTCTAATGTTAATAATTGCAATTTCCTTACAATATATATATATATAT